CGTGAGCATCATAGCTCCGTGCTTACATATTTTGCAATGGTAAAGCACTTCTTTATTAAACAGAGTTCTAGTTGATTTCGTAAGGCAAAGGAATATGGAGAATTTACATGCAGCATACATCAAGGGTCCGGGTGCGTCCGGAGAAGCAGTCGATCAATGGAAACCTTGGTCATGTATCATCAGGACCTCCAACGGCAGTTTATGCTTCTGACTGATGCGATGACTCAGACCTCGTGCAGTGTGAGTTGGTGTAATGGTGAACTAGCAGAGTGAGAGTCAGGCTGCAGCGGTGCCTTCTATGGCACTCCCAATCAATGGGATCCGATCCGGCTCCTATCTGGCATTGCGCTCTGTGAACCTGGGGTGTGGTGGTATGCCTTGTTGCGGATTTACGTCGTGCCAGCAACCTCTCCCGCATCCGGTCTTCTTGAGTCTGCCTCGACACGGGACGCAGGTGGGGAGGAGAGAGTGTGGTAGATGCAACGTAAGTCTAATATCACCACAAACTAATTCACGCGCAGATTTCCTGCGGAGCACACGGTGAATACTGTCGAAACCAACGGTCGGACTCACATGCTTTTAAATGTATGCGGTCCAACTCGATTTAACGCGCCAACTAGCCATCGAATAGTGGTATTCTAAAAGTCTCAAAGAAAAGTTAGGAAAAGTCAACGAGGGGTCAGGAGAAAAACGCTTTCAAATAAAGGAAATTTACAATGTCTCTAACAATTTATTTGGTTGATCCATCTCGGTCTCCAGCTGGAAAACTACAAAAAACTAAATTGCCCATATTAGCTAACATACGCAGAATAGGTAGAGCAGGTCATCTTTGCTATGAAGTATGCACGAAGTACGCGAACGTCTGAAAATATCATAGGTAAAATAGGAAACCAGAAATGTCGGCCGTGTTTCCCTCCTCCAAGCAAAAGTAGAAGCAGCCGATATCAGCAAGCGGAGACACAAACCTGCACATTCATGTTGCGGTGGACCACGACATGATTGGCTGAAAATGACGTGAATGAACAGCTGTCAGATCTGACGTCCCTAGTTCATTCGGGTCTGACATTGCCAGCACCAACTGTAGCATTTTTTTATCAAAAATTGTTTATTTGTAGGTGTTTCTTTTCGTTGAGATGAACGCATTTCAAAAGCAATGCTGCATAACGATCGACCTCTCACAGAAAATTGAATTTTCTCGGTTGTCTACACAGGCAGGCGGAGCCCAACGTGATTTTAGGTGTCATATTTGTCAAGTCATCCATGACAGTAGCTTCGACAACTGCGATTGGCAGCCCGAAGTTAGGAAGTGGAAGAGGGTGGAAGAGAGGGGTGCGGAAAATAAGGTAGTTAAAGGCGTTCTTGAATCTCTTTTGTAGATCGTTCAAAGGCAGAAAGTGTAATTCACGCGTAAGTAAGTAATTTTCTCACATGCGCGTTTGATTTTGAAATGCGCGTTTCTACCACCAACGCATGTTGGACTTCCTTTGCGGGCTTTATGACTGCAGTTTATACTGTGTATGTGCTGTCTCATTAAATTCGTGTTCGATTCGAAAATGTTAGTTAAGTAGGGTTGTAATAATAGTTGTCGCGCGGCATAGTTCCAAGATTCTTCAGTCACATCAAGGCGGGGAGTTTTTAAACGAGTTTCATTCGGACCGTCTGCAAAAAATAATTTCTTATGTAATGTGAACTTTTCTTATTTATTTTCGATGCCCTTACAAATGTAAGTATATTTTACGGAAGTTTGCACAAAATAATCCTTTTCTTACTCACTCGGTACCGAATTGCCTTTAAAAAGTTTGCTGATGATGAAGGAGTAGCTTCCGGCCTTAGAAATGATTCTGATTTTGGGACTTTTGGGATCATGATACATCCAGTTATAGAACACAGTAACTTTAAATTTAACAATTTTGTTTTTAAGTCAAACATTACGGTTTTCCACTGCGACATTTAACGAACCCTGTGAAGTATCTTTTTGGTAACGCATTAAAATTTGTAATTTTCCATATATGGAAAATATGCGAGTTGTATTTTAGAAATCTTTAAAGCGAGTCGGGTGCAAAATAATTTGGGAAGTGAAAAATTTTTAAAAAACTGTACCCTACTTTTTTGTAAACTATGAAATACAAAAAATGTTACCAAAAGGGCATAGACTTCTTCGTGTGTATGGAGTGCGAGCCGCACATTTATTTCTGGTGAAAGCCTGGTCATTGTGTGCGTATCATGCATAGGTGGTACGGCAGTGCTCCAGCTTTCACCTCCCGCAATCGTGACTCTGTCTGGATACCACGTTCAGGCGGACGATGAGAGAGAGAGAGTGCGACCGGTACAGCGCAAGTCCACCATCAGACAAAACCAAGTTACCATCTGCGTGTTCACTTTGGTGTGGGACAGAGGGTGGACATCGTCGGGGGTGTCTACACTTCCAAACATGTGGACTAGATAGCAAAAGTCTCATACTCTGAACCGCAGCACATAACTGTTGTCTTCGCGCACCGCTGCGCAGATAATTTTTTGGTAATGATCGGGTGAAATCTGCGGCATACAAAGAATACCTACCTGCTGTGCCTACTATACTTAGTCTGACATGCTTAGTTCGGTTTGGTGTTTCATCGTTCAAGATTAGGTCGTATGTTTTAGATGGTCTGATGCATTATCTACAATGAGATCAGCTTAGAGCATTGAGAAGCGATCGTTGTAGGCAGTGGGGTGGATTATCTACAATGATCTCAGTTCAGGGAGTTGGTAAGCGATCGTTGCATACAGTTAGTGTTTATCTTTCTAATTGTTCCGCTTAATTTCGGTTGCTGTATGCCAATGCACTAAAACATTCCTGCCTCTAAAACGAATTTGCCAATTATCTATACTTATTCTGCCATTCCTCTATGCATACATAGGCCCGCCCGTAAAACCCCTATTACCACCTTTCCCACAAGACAGTCACCTTTGTTTGGTCGTGTGTTTTTGAGGGTCTTTAGCCGATCGTTGCCAATTTCTTTGCATTACTGATGAAGGAAGTCGCGTTTCGTACGTCTTCACAATTTCCGCCGACAAAGCGGCAAGAAGGACATCAGCAGACTATTACATCATAGGCCAGTACTCTATAACCCGCTTATAAGCTGTTTATGGGCGCTCCTTACAGTCATTCGGCCAAAGCGAGAAACGAGTTCCAGGAGGAAGGGGAGCCGATAGCTAGTACGAGGACTAGTTCAGTACTTGCGTCGTGTTTGTCCCCTTCTTGAATACTTTGGTTTTTTAGGCGACCACAATCTTTGCGGTAGACGAGGACATTAAGGAAGGCCAGCTGGTTGTTTTCCTCTTCCTCCATCGTAAATTAAAGGCCCGGAAAGATGGCGTTGAAATGTTCTTTTATTTCAGCATCAGATCCCTTTCGATGACGACGAAGGTATCATGCGCAAACCGAGCCCAGAATTTCGGTCTGTGATGTCGGAAAACCAGCGACTCCAACCGTTGTAAGACCGGCTAGGCTATGATTCCCGAAATCGGCGCACCCAGTGGCGTGGCCTTTATATGCTCTTAGATTGTTCCGTCGAAACTAAAGTATGTCTTGAGACAGGAGTGCAGAAGTTGGAGATTCTCCGTTTTATCCGTTTCTCAGTTTCATCGGTTCCATTGTGGTGACATAAAACCAAAGAATTCAGGAAGGCGAAAAAATTCGACGCAAGTACTGAGCTACAACAGCAACCACCCAGTCACGAACGCAGTTGCGTAAGGACACTCTACAAGCGTGTGGAGACACGGCAGTGAACCGGAAGACAAGGTTGCTGAATAACAACAACCTCGACGGGGTATTCAAAGCCACTGGCTACCCGCGCAACTTCGTCAACTAGTACCTGTGTAAACGAGGCGAAAGACAAAATCAAACAGGAACCAAATTTTGGCCAGCTGTCCTGTGCGTGAACAATGTCTCAAAAGCCGTCAGCCGCTTTCTCACACCCCTTGGAATTAGGATAGCATACAGACCGGAGGCAACCATAAGACGTCAGATCATGAGGCCGACAGACCCTCTGTCATGGCAAGAAACATTTGAATTGGTTTACCGTGTCTGGTGCAGCTGTGGGCAAAGCAGCAATGTCGGGAAAGCCGGAAGACTACTGCGTACGCGTATGACCGAGCACACAGCAGCATTGGGAAGGCCGCCAGCTCCCAAGTGGCGGCCCACTCTACAGGGTCCAAACGCACATTCAAGTTTGACGAAGCAGAAATCCTTGCTAGTGGTGGCACCCACGTGAGCCGTGAACTGTTCGGGTCATGGTTTTCCGATCCTCAGTCAATCAACAAGCGCAATGACCCCCCCTCATCATATTCGGCGTTGGGACTTTGTCTAGACAACGAAGTTAACCGCGAGGACAGCGCGCAAATGACCAGTATTCCTGGTATCGACATCGACGAGCCAAATTGCCCAAGAGTCCACACAGACGACGACATCCGGGCGTCAGCAACTCAACTGCGTGCGATGAGCGTGGAAATCGATAATCTTGGCCGGCACACAAGGGCATAGCAACTGCACGACAACTACATGCTTCAACGCCTGGCCAGAATAGCCGTGATGCGCTCGGAAGCTGCCAACTGTGATAGGCATGTTGCGGCCCAGCAACTACATCCTATAAATACTGCAACATCTGGGCAATTTACCACCCTTATCTGACTCTGTTTCTGATGATGGATTCGAGTGAGAACCCGAAACTTCAGGCTAGTAAAGCTCCTGTTTCAGCGATCGTGTCTCCTTCTTCGTAAGTGACTTAAGTATTTTAGAGATGATATCACAGCAAGAATGAGAGGGAGAAGAATGTCAAATATATCCAAAGGCGACCCCTGTGGATTCTTAATTATATTTAATGTGCGTCATCTCAGTACGAAAATGCAAACCGTAGAAGTAAAAATAATTGCGATAAGAATTTTATTAAGGGTCCAAAGACAATAAAATATGTTAAGCCATAAAAAACCACTGCCATAGGCAACCTCCTCAAAAGTCCCTCCTAGTTATCGGACATGATTCCAGTCTCGTACTTTTTGAATGTTCTTATAAAGTCCTCCGACGGCTTGGTTTTCATGAACTTAACCACACGCTCTATACGGCCGTCGATCCTGTTGGGACGCTGAAGACCCAGGAGGCCACAGACGAAGGGATAGATGTCAATCTGCTCGAAATGTTGAATTCCCTGCAGAACCTCGATGTCGGGACCGCTCGCGACCATGAATGGGTGCATCAGTGGGTCCTCATTGTCATAGCCGTGATTACCTCGCATCGCTGGTTAACAAAGGGAAATATCATGTCTACTTTTTTTATTTTAAGACATAGAAATATCTGGATTAAGTGGACAATTTATTGTTTGAGGACTAATCAAGCTGTAGATATTCAGTTAAGGAAAAGTCTATAAAAAGGAAAAAGAATGAGTTTGAAGATCTTGCTCTCAGCTAACTGATACCAACCACAATAAATATCCTTAAAATTTCCCATTTCAGGAAACTGTATAAGTATACAGGAGAGTGTACTTGGAGTGGCAATTAACAAAAAATAATGACTTAGCTTACTCTCAAAACATATCAATAAAACAAGCATTATTAGAGTATTAGATCCATTATAATTTATGTTTTTGAGTATAAAGTACAAAGAAAGACATGATTTAAATTTTCCGAACCGCTTTTTGGTTTAACGTAGATGCCAGTTCTTATAGCTGTGGAGTAAATCTGCGACCGTCAGTTTCGTAAAAACCAAGAAGAATATGGCTACATGCCTATAGAGTGGATAATTTCCGGTTTGATTATGTGGCCGCATTCTTTCCAGCCGGAGTGCAACGCATCATAATAATTTTGAATTGTCGTTTGTTAAAAATGTTTTTTTTGAAAACAACAACCAAAAAGTGTAGTATGCATAGAAAAGAGGAAAAAAGCTTTTGACATACGTTTTTTCCCACTGTACTGATTTTTCTGGGTGTTAATCAAGAAACCTGTATCGCCTAGGAGGAAAACTGGCGGCATGCGATAGCTCTTCTTCAGATGAAAACGCTCAGGCAGGTCCTCTTTGAGCCATAGCTTGTAGTTTGTCAAGTTAGAGTTTTTGATTGTGTTATACAAATATGTTGCATTGTATCCTACACGAAATAAAAATATAAATGACAACGGTACGTTTGTAACCCCACCTCTAGACCAAATTTAACTGTCTTATTATTCATACTGACCCAACTGTGAAAGTCTCGGCGCCTCGGTGGGTTTCGAACCCACGCAGTAAGGGGAAGGCTTTAACGCAGCCAACGCTCTAACCCGTAGCTCAGGTGGTTAGAGCGTTGGCTGCGCTAAAGCCTTCCCCTTACTGCGTGGGTTCGAATCCCACCGAGGCGCCGAGTTTTTCACAGCTGGGTCAATATGAATTATTCAAAATCTGCCAAAATGTCAATGTCTTAATATTGGTTATGGGTGAGAGAGAAATAAATTATTTAGGCGTACCCGTTCGACATCAGAAACTCTTTAACGATACCGAGGAAATAAAGCGTTTATGTTCTTGACGAGGCAAAGTTAATCAAAGCGTGGCCGGTGATCCTTGCAGCACGCATAGTTTGATGAGAAACAACATTGGACAAAAAGGCTTAACCACCCTTCCGGAAGAAGTAAGTAAGTCACACCATACGGAATCGACAACGAAAGGCATGACACTATCTATCGAATGGAAGAATTTTTTAAAGGTTTTTAGTCAACCCATATTGTTTTACTACCGGAATCGGAGTGAATACAAATGAAGTAGTTTCGAAAAACTATATAGGGAGGCAACAGTCTTGTCACCGTTTAAGTATGCAAAAAATTGCCTACAACATATATACACACCATCTCATGGCACCATCTCATCTACATATTCACATATGTATATGAAGAGCAAATTCACGATTTCTCGAGATACCTACCATTTTTCGGCCAGAGTCCGACCAATCCCGGAGAGTTATTTCCAAAATATTGTTTGTTGTATGTAAGAAAATGCCAAAGTTCGATTCTGTTTTTTACTGGTATTTGTGCCATGCCATGGTCAGCTGTCACGATCAGATTCACTTTTCCATTGAGCGCCGGACTCTCCTTTATCCTTTTTAGGAGATAAGCGATCCCTTTATTAACGAGTTCAATGGCGTCAAGAACTTCTGTCGAGTCTGGGCCATGATCATGGCCAGTGTGGTCTGGCTCGTTAAAGTAGAAGGCACAGAAGTTGAACTCATCGCGAGTTATCCAGTCCATTATACGATCAATGCGATATTCAAATGTAGGATCATCGCTGTACAAGCCGAAAGTTGCAAAGGGGTACTTGCCGGCGTAAGCGTTGTTACTTCCCGGCCAGAAGAAGACGCAACTCCGCTTGCCATGGCGTTGGTTTGTGATCCAGATTGGTTCATTCTTGTTGTAATTTAGGAAGACGGGATCTAGCGCATCCGCAGTTACCCGCATACTGAATGTACGGTTAAGCTTAGGATCGTAAAATTTGTTATTATAAAGACCGTGATTTTCAACATAACGGCCAGTCGCGATTGAGAAGTGAGTTGGGAACGTAATT